CAGTGACACTTTGGTACTGCATAATAAGCTTTAAGGAAATTTCCTTCTACATAATCTGATAGAAAGAAAGGGTGTGGGTGTGGATGTGGATGTGGGTGTGGGGTGCGGGTGGGATGTGGGTGCGGGTGTGGGTGGATGTGGGTGTGGGTGTGAGTGTGCGTGGGTGGATGTGGGCGTGACCGAAATAAATACCTACACCTACACCCACATCCACACCCACACCCTGTAAAGATCATACTTTCTCCACCATAAATACCGTTTTGTGTGATAAAGTCATGGATAAGAACATTTGGCATAGCGTGAACAACATAATGTTTCCACCATTACTGATTTGTACCTTAGGCTTTTTACAGATGAACGTATAAAAGCAAAAACCAACATTGTCATACGTCCACGACATTGACGATAAACAAAAGTATATATCAATAATAGATACTCTCGCAAATCGTACAGCTCTCAATTCCTGGATATCTAGTATCTCTTCTTGCAGTAGAGAGGAAAGCAACACTTCTAGACTTCAAACAGTACCTTTCGAATAGAAAAAAAAGACATATTACACGAATATTGAAGCGACAGTAAAATCTTAGCTCAACAAAGATTAATATTTAATACAAAATAAGTCAAACATATGGAAATCTCAGTTGACGACAAAGTACTGTAAAAGTGGCTTTTATCTTTCCAATGCAAACGGTAAAACTTTGTAGGCAATAGTTTGCACTACAGTTATATCAGTTGAAATACTGGTCTATGTTCAATGATGTGTTTGAAATTTGCATACGAGGGTACAAAAGTTGCAAAGACAACCCATGTCGCATATTTACTTGAACTAACACCGGTATACCGCGGTAGTCGAGAAAACCGGCGGTATACCGCTGGTATACCGTCGGTTGCTTCGAGTACCGCGGTATACCGACGGTTTTCTTGAGTACCGCGGTATATCGACGGTAAAACTATCTCTTTTTCTCTCTCTATGTATATATAAATATGATAACGTTCTTTTTAATTTAGATGATTGTGAACATTGCAATAAACAGTAAGTGTTTATTATATGAATTATTATTACTATATTATTGTTTTATTTACGACGATCTCAGTACCAAAATGAAAAGTATGTATTCATGCCAAATATTATTATTTTATTATTTTTCTACTTTTATTTAGAGCAACTTTCAAAACTTCAAAAGAAAGTATTTATTTATTTATTTATTAAGAACTATTTTATTTTTTGTTTAGATTCTTTTGAGAATTATTTAGTCGGGAAAATGTAGCAATAAATAGAACTGTTTATCATCAAATATGCGATTCATTGTCTTATGAATCTGAGAATGAATTTATATTATCGTATACAAAAAATTAATTTTATTAAACTTTATCATTGGAAAATTATTTTTTTTGTTTTAATTTCAGTATTATATTTTGGTCGTGAGTGAAATGTAGCTGTTTCTGAGAAGAGACAATTTAGTAAGAGCTATATTTCACTTACGACCAAAATTTAATACTGAAATTAAAACAAAAAAAATAATTTTCTAATGATAAAGTTTAATAAAATTAATTTTTTGTATGCGATAATATAAATTCATTCTCAGATTCATAAGAGAGCAGATTACTAGGTTCGCACCTTGATTTTATCGGTAAAAGATGAAATTACCGCCGGTATATTGCCGGTATACCGCCGGTGTTTTTGCAACTACTGGCGGTAGAGCGCACATTATACCGTTCGGTCAACCGGCGGTATACCGCCGGTTTTTTTCCGGTTCTAATCACATGGGAAACATCATACCCATAGTTGCTGTCTTATGTTTTTCCTTGTAGATTTTTCTACAACGTTAAATGTGGTTGATTTATTTGTTGACATTCAAGAACAAACTTTACCTAGTTTCAATTCAAGAATAAGATTGTGAACAACAAAACGAAAGAGAAAAAAACCCAAGAACGTAATTTATTCTATTATTATTCTTCCTAACTTTCGTTTACTTTTCATTTGTACAATCTGACAAGAACGAAAAAAAAAACAACAAAGACATCGTTAGATCGATTGTTTTCCTGCTGCTTGCGAGGGGCATATTGATAATATGAATGAAGCAACTCAAGTAAAAAAAACCCTGTTTATATCGTGCTTCACCATGAGACATATACATCTCGCACCATAGTTGCTGAATGTATTTTGCTATTCATTAAGATTTTTTTTTCATCTTGCTCTTGAGTGTTAGTAAGGTCTGCCTTATAAAAATATCTTTATTCGTGCCATAGATGAAATAGTTCCTTGTTGAATTATAAGAAATGCATTGATAGTTAAGTTTGAAAGTTTTAATTCATAAAATGACTATCCATGATAGAAGAGCAACCAAACTATAAATTTTCTCAAAAAAAAACCGATAAAAGCCAAGATTTCTTGACAAAATAATACTTTGATAAATAGTATTCTGAAAGGTACCTATGAGCAATGAGAGTTTTGGGTAAGAGAGAAAGTGACATGTTCACGATTCCTGAATGTCCAGACTTAAAAAAACTCTATTATCGAGAAGAGTGCCAATTGCGTCTTTACGACAGTTAACAAAGATATTGATAATAAATATGATTGAAAAATATTATAGAATCGATTTCGTACAAGATACGATTCTATTTTCTGTATCTGCATCGATTAGTACAACTATGTGCCACAATTTGAAAAGAACACCAAGTTCTGATTCAACAACGGTGTTGTAAAATTTCTGCGAACCTTTTCCGAATTGTTCGAAAAATGAGTAAATATTTTGTCTCAACAATTCTCAGCTTAATCATTAATATATTCAAAAGAAAAATATGTAAAATAGGTTTTAATGAAACATAGGGGCGATTTGTTCATGCATTTAGCGTTAAATATTCCGCCTTGTTGTAAGTTTTTGTCTTGTTTATCTATTTTTTTTGTGAGTACATAAGTTATGACGATATAATAATACTAAGTCCAACATTGAATATTTTTAATGTGAAGAAAAAATTCATTATATTTCAATTAGAGTTTTTGTGTATCTGTAATAATATGTCTATATAAATAATTAGTGATTAGAACCGAATTGAAAGATTACATATTGAATTCATATAAAGAAGTTTATTCCAATTAATTATGAAAAAAAAATTAGTTCCCACACGCATTCAGCTCTGGTTGTGAGTGAAGACCGTTCTGTGATGCAGTAATACTCACATCTATGTATAATATGCAATCTTCGAATATAGTTTCGTCATATTGAGCAATCATTCAATTTTATGTATATCAATATACCCGTCGGGGAATTCTTCCTGTATACATACGTGCATAAATTAAATTATATTTATAGTAAATGTATTTCAACAGAAAACATATCAAGACACATATTTTCTATAAAAATGGATGTTGAATCACTGATACTATTAATATCTATTCTGTATGATACATTGGCAATGAGGAATATTATCTGCGTCAAATATGATTAAAAATCTCATCTACCAACAAATTCTTTTTTTAAACTAAAATCAGTAGAGATATTCGAGATATGAATCTTTCTTCCTTAATTCAAAAGTAATAAAAACAAAATACCATCATCGTATTGTATGCTTGATGTCTTTGCAAAAACATTAACAATAACGTCGATTACATGATATTGTTGAATTTCTTCGGAAAGTGCAATTACGACAAATAAGAAAGATCAACAGAAAACAATATATTAATAACGAACGAGTTGCCATCACTTTCTCTTCTTGCGTTTGTGTCTGTACAGGGCAGTGAAAATGTGCAGATAGAATTTGTAAGCTAACAACTGCTGAAGAAAAGTTAAATTGCATGTTTCTTTCTTTCAATGTGATTACATCTTATATAAAGGACTTTGTGTTTATTAGGGGTGCGGATGTGAATGTGATTGTGGCTCAAGAGAAAAGATCCACACCCACAACCCACCCTCAGTCGATACAGAGACCATAAATAGAGAATTGTAAAAAAATGACTATTTCTCTGAGACCTATACTTAATTGAGCAATAATATACTTTAAGTGAGCAATAATCAAATTTAGCAATAAATATATTGGATGAGCAATATATATAATGAATGAGCGATACTTATACTGAATGAGCAATAATTAATTTAAATAAAACATAAAATGTACAGGGTGGTCCATAAGTCACCCGACACTCTTGTATTGCGAATAACTTTTGATAGGAACATGTTATAGACCTGCAGTTTTCACCATTTGAAAGAGCGATGTTTGGATCATCGATCCATATAATATTCACTAGGACGAAAGATGCTTTTACATAGGAACTTTTCATTTGACATTCTTTTTTTTGTGCATTTTCAGAAATTTTCACATTAATCTTGCCTGAAATTACACCAAAGTATAGCTCAAATCACCCATTTTCGCTATAAAAGTATTATTTAATGCATAATTCCGTCGACCTCTTTTTTCAAGTGCACCTTTGGAAAATACTGAGAATTTTATAGCGAAAAATGGGTTATTTGAGCTATATTTTGATGTAACGTGAATATTATATGGATCGATGGTCCAAATATCGCTCTTTCAAATGGTGAAAACCGCAGGTCTATAACATGTTACTATCAAAAGTTATTCGCAATACAAGAGTGTCGGGTGACTTATGGACCACCCTGTATTTCGTTTTTCCTTTTGTTTCTTGTCAATTGTAAATTTAAAATAATGTAGTTTTACTTCTTTTTGTTGCTCAAATATGAAATTAATATTGTTATCTAATAAACTATTTATTGCTCATTTAATATTATAAAATTGCTCAAACAAAGTTTTTTTATTGCTCGAAAGTTACTGCTAAATCATGTTTTAATTATTGCTCATTCCAATATTTTTATTGCTCAAATAAATAAAAGCCTTTCTCTGATACCATATGAAGATATCTCTTATCTTTGGATTCGAGTTGTCCATTGTAAACTCCTACTTTCACTCTCACAACCTCAAGAAAATCTGAGTCGCACATTATCGATGGTCTGTGTGTTAACTGCACATATTAAAAGAAAATCGTTTTACACGTTATATTTAAATGAATTAGCTGAGGCATACAATATTTGCGAAAATGTGACTGTGAACATGAGAAAATCTCCATTTTCAAGACCATATTCGCGTAATGTTAAATGATCGATACTTCCACCTAAATATCGTTGATCCATCTCCACCTTATTTTCTCCATCAACTTTCAAGGGTTCATCACGCAATAAATCAGGTTTATTCCATACCATCAATATTTTGCATTTTCCATGTTTACTTGGAAACGGCATTCCCATACATTCAATTAAGTATTGTTTAAGTGTAGAAATTCTATGGTCTTCATGTGCTTCTACTGTGGCTGGAAAATCAGTCGCGGCGTGTCGCACTCTGAATTTTATTCGTTTTTCAACAGACTGACTCATATCTGTATCAATTGGAATCGAGATGATCGGTTCAGGACCCATGGATGATGGAAATCGAATTCGAGTTGGATCAGGTGGATCCTTATTCTGACCGTAAGTTTTAGTCGCGATATTTCTGAAGATATTACCCATGTAGAAACGAAAAGATGAATGACGATGTGACATCATATGATGGTAGAATGCATACGTGGCAAATTAGTCAAGTTTTTATTCTGTCCTGTTACTTTTTCTTTCTTTACTGAGATGACTAACTCACTCTATTCTTCAAAGATGACTTTTGAAATTTCACAAACCATTCTGGCTACGTCTATCGGTTCTTTTCCATGCATGCACAAAATTTCTCTGATTTTGATAAAACTTTAAAGTTTTCTAGAGCTTTTAATTCTAAGCACTTTGTCAAGGGAAATTGTTTGAAATGCTTCTGCTTTGACAGAGATATGCTCGAAATACTGAAAACCCTCAAGATTTACTTTTTTTTCAAAACTAAACGTTTCTCTATGATCCAGCTATCTTTGTCAAACTGAGGTCCACAATCAGTTTTAATACGATATTCGCATTCCTCGTGTTCTGGCACATCCCACAATCCTAAACTCGGTTAAAGCTTTTCAAGGAAATGAACCTTTTGTTCGCTGCCACTCTTTGATACTCACCTGAAAATACATCTCTATCTTGTATGCTCGACTTTTCCAAAAAGTCGAATTGCTCGTTATGAAGACATAATGGGTTTGATAAAGCTTCGATTGCTCTACAACTCTGATGAGTGTGGGTGTGAGTATGATTCTTCTCTTCACTTACACTTACACCACCCATACCCAACTTTGGAAGGATTTCTCCCTTAACTCTTTGCTTTCCTTAGCAGAATCAAACAAAAACTATAATTGTCTCTAAGGTTTTGAATATGTTTTCCAAACTGATATAACATATTTCCTACAATGTCACACATCTATTGTACCTGTATGAAATTACTCATGCCATTTTTCGTATTCTTTTCAGTCTATAATTCTAATTGTACTTTTGTACTGTAACTATTTAATAGTATGTTTATCATATTTGAAGTTTCGTCTCAGTCACTAATTTAATATTGCAATGAAACGTCGTGTTACTGAGAAGAATTTCTTTCCGAAAAAGTTAGAATGGTTTCTTCTTATGTTTGACATCATAGACCTAAAAAAGAGAATAGTGTTGAGTATGAATTCTTCTGCTTCAGATAGTATTTTAAAGGAATCATTTATTGCTATTACTGTCTTGTTTCCGTATGACTATGAAACATGCTTCAAAGAATCAATAGTCAATGTTACTTCTCTTTCAGGTATTTATTATCTTAAATAGTAGATGAAATCTTTTGGATTTGTCAGAAGAAATTGTTTTCATCAACGAAACGTTTCATTATAAAGGATGTGGATGTGCATCGGCGTGGGTCAGGTTCCTTTTCGACTATGCGATCATATATTTGGAAAAGTGATATTTTTATGTCAGAAATAGCTGCTTGTCGAAATTCATGTACAACTTCTCCAATATCAAATGGCACAATACATTCTTCATGTCGATGAATTTGTTTCGTAATTTGTATTGCTGGTGTACCTCCCTAGGTTCTCGTCCAATGAAAATCAATAAATTTAAACCAATAACTGTATCATACTAAATATATTTTTGTGTCTCTTTTATTCATAAATATTAAGCAGTCTCAATAAATCTTAGAATAGATAGGAGCAAGTCTGAAATTACAGTAAAAGTCAGAAGATTAATCCTATTTAAAAATAAATTTTTAATATTCAAAAAAGTATAAATATAGTTAGACATACCACAACGTATTTTACTTAGTTATGCTTAAAGTAAATAAAGAACATGATTTAGAACTGATACATTATAATATAATGAATGCCATAGATAATTAAACGGTCGAGCGACAGCGTGATTGAAAAACATCTTGACATACTGAATTAGAAATGCCATAATAATAGATGTCAATGTCTTTTGACTTTGATTAGAAATTTGATCGTGTCATCAAATGAAATATTATACTTAGCAAAAAATTTTGAACAGCTGAAAAAAGAACATTACTTGAATGAATATTTAGTTATATTTTAAAAATAAACGAATTATCGAAAATATTTAACGTATAACAAATCTGATATTCAAAAGAAAAAAGTTAATCATTTCAAAAAGAAAAAAACTAATGAAACAAATGGTAGTGTAAAAAAAAGGAGTTATCTATAATAAAAAACAAGCAAAGCACCTAAAATGAGACGCTCCCACCTACTGTAGTATGTATATCCCCAGAATTTCATAACTATAAAGTTTGCTGTTGAAAAATGATGAAATATACCATGAATGGATACTATATTGGCTATAGTCATTTTTTTATCTGAAGGTGTCTCTATTGTGATTTCAATATCTCAACAGGGTAAAGGTTTTACAAGAAAACGTTTTTTGATGTTTTCACATCTCACTTATGGTTACACATGTGCAAAGTTTTCTCGAAATCTGTGACCACAATTGAGCACGATTGGTGGCCCTTATTATGCAACGCCTTCTACGAAGAAGTTGTAAGCGACTGGTATCAATATGATTTCCTTTCTATTCAACTTGTGGCATGTGCCCTTCTGTTTTTTGTTATTTGCCATGAACAGATTAATGAGACACTTGTAACAAAAAAGTCTTCTTATATTATGTCAAGCAATGAAGAATTAATACATTTATGATCAATTGTGTTTTCATCCATCATCTAAACTTGGCATGTTTAGATAAAAAAAAAGACTCTTTCGTCACATATTCCGTTGAGAACTTGGAAGATTATTTCATGAGATGTTTCTCAATACAGTTGTGTCCCATTCGTTTCACGACACGTGAAGCCCCTGATCTATACTCTTTCTTTACTTCTCAATGAATCGGCTTTCATCTCGCAATTACTGTTCGTATAAACAATATCTTTAGAGAAATTAAATAGCTTGGAATCAATTGACAGAGCTATGAACTTCTGAAGAAACAAAAATAACGTTACTCTTATAACTCTTCTTATCACAACGTAGAATCGAAACAGGATATTTTATGAATAATAAACTGATGGTAATGTTAATAATGATAAAAAACAATCTCATGTTCCTGATTTGTTCTCTCTTTTTTCTGTTTCTCGTTCCATGTCTGTTCTTTCTTTTCTTATTTTTCTCTCTTAATTCATTCTATCTATTCTGCTTCTCATCTACTTATCGTTTTTTTTATATCTTTCTGTATATATTAGATAGATGACATGATTAATATGAGTATACAACTCATTGTTTGACTGACACATGAGTATGGAATATGCATGCTGAATATTTAATTTTCTATGGATAGAATAGTCGAAGAGATTGCTTCAGTATCTGGAGTGACACAAAATCAAGATGATGAAACACACCATATATCTGTAAGGTAAGATAATTCTGCTATGTGAAAGACGAAAAGAAACTTGAAGATAATTTTTGAGTAGAGTTATAATGGCAAAGATACTTATTATTTTGTCGAAAATTTCTTTTTCTTTGTTATATTTATAACTACTAGTGTCCTAATCCTTTGATTAAATTACTTTTCGTTTCAATAAATCAAAACAAAAATGATCCTTGAGCAAACAGATGCTCTTTTCTAGACAATTCAATTCAAATAATTATGTCAAACAATTTATTTTATGGATTGTCTTATTTATCTGTGTCATTCTTATTGCTGGTCCACTTGCACTTCATGTTTCGTCCGCATTACCTACAGTAAAAACACGAAATATTCCACTTCATCTATTTAGTGAAGAACGTGCTCGTACTTATTTTTCTAATTTAACTTTATATGGATCAAGAGTAAGTAATACACGTGGTGATTTTTACGCACGTAGTTTCCTTATTTCACAAATTGAACGTATCAGTTCAATCAGTAAAAGACATCTTCAAATTGAATTTGATCTTCAAAATTTTACCGATCGTCAACATAATCAATTACAAAATATAGTCGTTCGCCTGTCAAATCCAGCTACAAAATCCAAAAATGTGTCGTGTTTGTTGCTAACTGCCCATTATGATTCAGGTAAATATATTTAGAAATCTACTAATTTCGAAGAAAACTATATTTAATTATAGTGGAATTTAGTCTCGGAGGTAGTGACGATGGTTCGGGTATTGTTATTTTACTTGAACTTCTCTCAAATTTGGTCAATGATTTAACATTAACATTTTCTAATGTTCATCTTATCGTTCTATTCACAAGTGCTGAAGAAATCAATTCACAAGGTGCTAAAGAATTTATTAGCAATCACATTTGGCGTTCTGATATTCGTTATTTTATCAATATCGATGCAACCACTTGCAATGAAAAGGCTAGCCTAAATCGAATTATACCATCACAGGTTTTCTTCATTCTTTACATTTATTTTTTAGTCTTTATATTTTTCAGCTTGTTGTCGACTATAGTCGAGTTTCAAGACCACGTGCAAATGTGATTATTGAGTATATTCACAAATGGCTTAGATTAATGAGTGATTATGATGTTTTTACTTTGAATAATTCTCTATTAGGTTATGAATTTGGTTTTCTTCTCGATGGTTACAATTATCATACGTCACTTGATCATCCATTAATGATAAAACAAGGTGTTCTTCAAGATCTAGGTGAAAATCTAGGTATATTAATTCGTAATATACTTCTGGGAAATATTAATCCTCAAATGACAAAGAATATTATCGATACTGATCCTTTTATTTATTTTGATATTCTTGGTCGATACTTAATTGTGTATAGAATGTCTACATCAGTAATTATTGAACAAATTCTAATAATATTAGTTCTAGTAATCGGTATAACTCTAATTTTATTCGATCATATATGGCATCGAAAAAGAACTTTAACATGTATTGATTCTCATTGTATCTATTTACATTTTAAATATCCATTGATTATACGTATTATTTTAATTA